GCACTCCCTGCGTGGCTATTTGCTCCGTCTAGGCGAGATCTCAGCACCGAGTATGGAAGGGGAAGATTGTTGTACTTGTTAATAGAGTGTGGGCCAGTGAATCATGATCCAAACAGCTCGAAGCTCACGCGGCCCTCATCCCCAGCAAGAATTTCGACCTCGTTGAATTTGAATTTGTGGCCAGATCTCGTCGAATGAGCCGCAACTTGAGAGCCCTTCGAGAGGCCTCCACGTATGCGCGGATCCGGTTTCTGCACAGATGTATCGAAAAACCACCAAACAGTCATCACATCAGGTGCACTGATTGCGGATGAAGGGAAGGAGCCGTGAATATTCATAGCTTTGCGATAGCATGGCGACTGCATTCTATAAGTACTGCAACCCCTTGTGCATGAACCACCCGTATATGCTATTGCCTCTGATGATGGGTTCGAGCGGGAATCCGAAACGTCAGGCGAATAAAGTTCTTGTCCCAGCGACAGTGTCTCCTCCATGACTGCTTCCTGGGACTCGTCTCCGCGCTTCTGTTGACTACTGAACTTGTTGCGCATCAAAGTATCTTCGCCAGCTTTTAACACTCATATTTCACTATCAGTCTTACGCAATTCGTGTGCCGAGATTACTTGTATGTCTATGCAACTTAATTGCTGATTATGTAGATTTGTATTTTTTTAACGGAGTTTCCAGAGGGTACTGTCATTTACTCCAAATACCTTGATTTGATTTTAACTGCGCTCTACGCAAGCTAATTGCCAAATATTGCAGGCAAAAAATTGTTAAGACTTATGGTTAGAATTAGAAAGACTAGCATATCACAGCAGTAACTATACAGCATTGCATTTCAGGAGAATGATGCATATAAGCGTCCCTTAACAGAGGTCCAATCATAGACCGCTACTCATCAACTGTGACTTCGACAGGACTGTTAGCGTGACCGTCGGAAATTAAGGCCTACCCACTCATTTCGACGTCAGCCTACAGCCGACCATACACTTTAGGGTGTGCAGGTCCCTTTGCCGAATTACTCTAAGCTTCTAGAACCCCAAATCCCGCAGTTTTATGTAATGATGAAGCCATTCGATTGAGAGTCTGCTTCACATGACATCAGCTTGTAAATAAATTCGTGACCTACCTTTGCTAGTTCCTGAAGTCTGGTCGCGTATTGCAATCTGTGGGTTTAGTCTGATAGGCTCATGTCGCAAAAACTGCATTCTATATGAAAATAAGTTCATGGTTTTCAAAATACGCTAAGTGACTTTTCAGTGACCGAAACCTATTCTGACCGTTCTCATGGTGATATTCTGTGACGTTCCACAACACTTCCTTATGCGCTCAACTGCGGCTGTCTTGTTAAGTATGCGCAGTCTGCCTGCTCGTTCCAGGTCGTCTAATGAATTCAAGTCCTCAAAACGCCCAATCAAACGGCTGATTATTGATTTCCTTGGAGAATCCCTCATTCTGCAACAGCGACATTATTCTCTTTAGGTCATAATTATTGGCCCTTGAAGTTCACGGGAAAAAATTTCAGGATTAGTTTTCTTCGGTTGGTCGTGAACCGTGGCATGATTAAGTTCCAAGGCTTTCTTTTCAAAACCTCTAAAGAAAAGAAGGAGAAAAATAGTCTTCAGAAATTTGTTAAAGCTCTATTGCCCTCCGTGGCTTTTTTGCCCACTTTGCATAATTGCTGTGAGACCGACGGCTCGACCCTCCTTGCCAACGATGTTCACCGTGTGCTTCAAAACAAGGTAAAAGCAAGGACGGTGCCTTGCGCGCGATTTAGTCTGCAATGAGTGTAGACTTGCGCAGCATCTACGGCGCTCTCTCCTCCCCACCTTCCCCTGGCTTGAACCCGCTGTCAGGACACAGTCAAGAAGGCTGGAGGCGCAGGTGGCTAACACGGCAGGACCCCCACTTAGGCATACCACCTCACCCCCCGGTTCACGGCAAACACTTGATCAGAATTTTAACCAACAGCAACTGTACCACAACGCGTCAGGAAGAGGAGGATGACTGGGCAGCCATGCACACGACCTGTATACCCAGCGGGAGCGAAAGTGCATCTGTGGCGGTCAAGGATGTGAGATCAATTTAAACCACGCACAATAAGTTCGTTTCGTCTAATGACAGAAGTCAGGGAGCTGTGAGGACTAGTTTATTCTGTACACAGGGCAGGTTGCCGTAAGTTGGCGGTTTGCTTGCAACAGAGAAAAGCGTCCGTTCACGGAGAGCGTCAGTCACGGTGTGTGTTGTTTACGCGGGTGTGAGTGTCTAGGTCAGCAGGAGGGGGTGACTGTCTGAGTGGTGGTCGTGTGATTGGACAAATTAGAGGACGAATGGAGGGCGCATACTCACAAGGCCTCACGGGAATCAAGCCAAAGCGTTCGACGCGCGTTAGGCGATACTAGTTTTTGAGTGCAGCCGGGGTTCACTGCAGCTGGACCGGAGGTGTCCCAGTTCTAGCCGGCGGGGGTGGTTGTGCGTCAGCGGCCTGTCAGTGCTTATCGCGGTCATCGACCGACAAAACGGAGCCGGAGAAAAGGGGGACTGGAGCAGCTGCTACACATCTACCGGCAGGAAGCCGGGTGCCGGAGAACGGCCATCTCACACCAGTCTGCGGGGACTATGGTTTGCTAAACCATGGCATAGCAGACGCCCTGTCTAAACACTGGACCTCTCGCGAGTGTCTGCACGTGTGCACCAGGGTCTCACTTTTGGCCTAACCTACGGCGATACACACAATCCTTAGGAATCAGAAGGGTGGCGGCAGCCCTGCACTCAGCCTGGACAATCACCCTTCAAAGATCGGGTAATCAGTCAGTTGTTGAATAAGAAGCACTACCCATAACGTCCACGCACACTCCTCACAAGCGTAAGAATGCCAGGAGTCACGTTGAGAAGGAGACACGACAGCCTGGCTCTCAACCCACCAGTCCGCCGTTCCACATAAACACACGCAAATTGGCCAATTACGTGGATTGAGTTAAAGCGTCGGTCGGAAACCTTCCGAGCCACGACGTTTGGCGCAGCGTAATGATCCCAGGCTTGGATCACACATGCAGCAGAGCAAGCACATGGTGAAGGAGGCAGGAAGCATACTCTTCACT